ATATATATATATATATATATATATATATATATATATATATATATATATATATATATATATATATATATATATATATATATATATATATATATATATATATATATATATATATATATATATATATATATATATATATATATATATATATATATATATATATATATATATATATATATATATATATTAGGGTGGGTCATAAAATTTTTTTTTCTTGTTACAGGCTCTATTGATTGCTAATAGTTATTAATATTGATACTATCAAATATGAGAATGATTGTGATAGATTTAAAGGGCGCAACTTTATTGGGAAAATTACCGTTACCCTAATATTTTGGGGAAAAAAAGTTTTTCAAAAGTAAGTCATAATAATAATCGTTTTATAAAAATCATATTGCCGAAAAAAATTGTCATTAAAAAACATGTAAAAATGCACCTTTTTCACTTTTAGTTAAAAAACTATAGTTATTATGCAATAAAATCTAAAATAGAAATTTTTATATGAAAAAATTATTATTTTTGAAATTTTTATAAAATTTCGCTTTGTTTGAGTACCTACATTACATAATTTTAAAAAACTTTTTTTTTGAATAATAATAGGGTCTGCTAATTTTTGTAATTATAGTTGCGGGTGGAAGACATTGTTCAATCCATAAAAGTAAATACTTTCCTAAATTAGTACATAAAAAAACAACTTTCTAGACCATAGCCAGGTTAGCAACTCTAAAAATAAATTTTATGACCCACCCTAATATATATATATGTATATATAATTATTATTATTATTATCATTATTGAACAACTTTGCCTTTATAATTAAAATCACTTTATAATTTATATACTAAAATCAGCAAATTTTTTTTTTTTTGTTCTTTTATTTCCGGTTCCTCTTCCACTACTTGAGTAGTATATTTGCCAATGGCATAACGCAATAGATATATTAAGAGACAACTCTGTTAAATATGTTGGCCCCTATAATATCGAAGCCTTTACTTCCGTGTCGATTTGCCACTTTTTTAACAATAAGGTTTGAGTCACCGATGAATTTAAACATGTTAGCCATCGATGGATGGCATACTCCCAACAATGCCGACTTGATTACTCTTGTTGCATAAACATTTCTTCTCTCCCCCAAGGTGCACAGCTTTATTTCGTTCAAAAGGTGAACCGAATAAGTGTTCCTAGGTTTATGACAGATGATATGGCCACACTGCTTTTGTATTACGTCAAACCTCTTTAATTGTTTTTCAAAATGTATTATTTATTTGATAATATGCAAAAAAATTGATGAAATATACCGTATGAAATATAGAGATTTAGTAAACACACAGATTTTTTTACCACTGAAAAACCGGCACTAAAAAAGGCAAATTAAAAAAAAATTTGAAGTAAACATTTTTTTCATTAAATAATGTTAACTTCTTAGGGTTAAAAAATATTTAAAATATTTTTTAACCCTAATACATTTTTTAATATATTTGAAAAGTATTTAAAACATTAAAATTGAATTTTTTTTTCATAAAACTAAGTAAAATCCTATTTCCGCTTCGCGACGCATAGTGTGCGACGGATAGTGTGCCACGCATAGTGTGCGACGGATAGTGTGCGACAGATAGTGTGCGACGCATAGTGTGCAATGTATAAATATAAACTAGTTATGTATTCATTGACAGATTTCAAATTTTATGTTTAAATTGTTTAAATTATTCAGTGTTCAGTTTTTACGACCATGTAAAGTTTGGAAAATTCTTTTTGTTTAAAAGTTGGTTATTTCAAACATTTTAAAACCTTCCTACACTACTGACTACGCTAACGTTTAACTCAAAAAATTACCAACTCTTTAGTAGTCGCTTGTGTTTGATTGCTTTTTTGTGTTTGTTACTTTTTTGCTGATCTTAAATCTGAAGGAATTTCTAAAGTTCTACAAAATGAATTTTAAACGAGCGTTTTAAATTATTGTTTTTGTTTATGATTAATTATACTATGATTTTAACTTTTTATTAACTTTTGAACGCTTGATAAGTTTGGGGTGGGGTTGGGGCTGAGTTCTAGCAACAAATTCCAGGTTAGAGACTGAGGCCACAAGCCCCAGCGCGTTCTATGCTTGCGTTTAAAAGAATTCTAGCTGATGGATGTTGTGAAAACTGTTTTTATGAATAATGCTTATATAAAAAGCGAACGCAAAAATTCATAGCCAACAAAAACATGCAGTCAGAATCATATTTGGAGCTGGTAGAGCGATTCCTTATGAACCTCTTTTATGTATAAATGGTGCTTTGAATATTTTCAAACTTAACATCCATCTTGTTCTAAAGTTCATGTATAAAACAAAATATGAACTGTCTCCAAAAATCTTTGAAACTTATTTTAAAGTAATACACCATAAATATGCTAAAAGATTTTCCGCAAACCCCTTTGTCATACCAAAATCTCATTCTGAACAGAATTCTTATTCAATTCAGAATCGCAGACCACTTTTGTGGAAAAGGCTTTCAAACATTGTTTCCGAAAAGAAAACTTCTCTACATCAGTTCAAAACTGATTCAAAACAGTTTTTATTGAACACAGATTTTGATTTATTTTATTATAAGTCTTTCTTTTAAAATAGATCAGATATATCAATTATAAATAAAAACAAGCTAACTGTTCCTTGTAATCATGTTAACAAAAATGTTAAAAATTTACTGACAATAACCATTATCACGAATCACATTTTCTCGCTTTTTATTTTTTGTGTGTACACAGCAAAATCCAAGATTCTAGGTTAAGAACTTTTGTTCTTATTTTAAGAACTTTTGTTCTTATTTTAAGAACTTTTGTTCTTATTTTAAGAACTTTTGTTCTTATTTTAAGAACTTGATTTTTATTTTAAGAACCTGATTCTTATTTTAAGAACTTGATTCTTATTTTAGATTTCCATTCTTACACAGCAAAATCCAAGATTCTAGGTTAAGAACTTTTGTTTTTATTTTAAGAACTTTTGTTCTTATTTTAAGAACTTGATTCTTATTTTAGATTTCCATTCTTACACAGCAAAATCCAAGATTCTAGGTTAAGAACTTTTGTTTTTTTTTTAAGAACTTTTGTTCTTATTTTAAGAACTTGATTCTTATTTTAGATTTCCATTCTTATTTATAGATATTTCAATAAAAAAAATTGTTCCTAATTTTATAATATTGTAACATTTTGTTTGTATATAATATGTATATACATTTATATATGTATACATATTATATACAAACAATGTTTGTATATTTAAATATAAATATATATATATATATATATATATATATATATATATATATATATATATATATATATATATATATATATATATATATATATATATATATATATATATGTATATATAATCAATAGATAATCAATAGATACCTGCAGGTATACCTAAAAAAAATTAAAGAATTCAGAAAAATTAAATCCACTGAATTTCCTTTTCTGAAAATCCTCCCCACCCTCTGATAGATCTTGTGTTCATGATTTTATGTAATCAAATTGTCTAATCCATTTGAGACTAAATCAAACCAGAAAGAGTCGTATACTTCAAGAATTTTATAGAATTTGCCTTTAATTAATGCAATATTCATATCTGCAATTCTGCATAAATCTAAACAGCATAAAAGTGAATCCTTTGTATGGGCGACGTAGTAGCAGAATAATATAAATGTAAGGTGCAAGTATGCATTAGAGCGATTTGGTTTGAAGTGCTCCGAAGCTGTGCACTTCTTTATAATAAATGAATTTAATAAAAATGAATAAACTGCCGAGCAACGGATCAAGGAGTTTTTGTGTGGCTAAAGACTCTGCCCCTTCCGCCTACCCCCCCCCCCAAACTGTCATTAGGGCCCCAAAAACTTAAAAACCTACAGTCAATTACAAGCGTTATGTTTATGAGCTATGTTCAAAAAGTTCATAAGAAATTTTGAAGATTTTAAAATGGCTGCGGATCTTACCTACATGTTCAAAAAGTTCAAAAGTTCTTAGCTACACGTTTAAAAAGTTCATAAGAAAGTTCAGAGATTTTAAAATGGCTGCGAATCTTAGATTTTTTAAATAGCAACTTTTTTTTAATTTTCATTTTTGTAAAAATTAATGCTGCAATTATTAAACTCGTGATGAATAAAGTATTTGGACCAAATGTTGTTTGTTGTATTCAAACCTAGCACCTAATTTTTTCATAAATAGAATAACATCAATAAAACTGTATTAAACCAGCAATATATTTTTCTAAAGTCAAATAGATTGTATTACTAAAAAGCAAATCTCTTTTAATATTAGGTATGCGGAAATCACGATTTACGGAACCGATTGTGCTAAAATTTTGTGGCTCGTTTTTTTAACTTTTTTTTAGGTAGCATTAAGCAAACGTATTTTGTGAAGTTTTTTTTTAGAAATATATGTACAGATAGATACTTTTTTGAAAGAAGAAAGATTAATCTTGATTTTTATATAACTTTTATGTATGGTTACTGAATTTTTTTATGGATTATTTTGGTTCTGAAAAACAGGTTGATGTTCTCACATAAATATGTAGTTGAAGGAATATTGATCCCGGTCTATTTATTATTCAAACAAATTTCTGCATGCAATTTCTATGCGCATATCAAATTTCAACGAAAAAAAAAGGGAGCAGATAGGTTTCAAAGGGTTCTACTATGCATACTGCATTTTTTTGGTAGTCTTAGTAAAACGTATTTTTGTAGTATTTCTTTTTAGAAAAATATGCAAATAAAGTTTTGTTTTTGAAAGAAGAAAGGTTTAGCGTGACTTCTATATAACTTTTATGTATGGTTACTAAACTTCTTTATGGGTTATTTTGCTTCAAATTTTGCATGAAAATTTAGACAATGTTTTCACTTGAATTTGTAGTAGAAGGAATGTTGATCCCAATCTATTTATTATTTAAACAATTTTCTACATGCATTTCTATGTAAATGCCAAATTTAAACGAAAAAAAAAGAGAGCAGGCAGTTTACTAAGTGTAACTCTTTTGGTACCTAATTTCTGTTTTTCTGATTTTTTTTTTCCGGGTATGGGGCTAGGGGGGCCATTCGCAAAACAATTGTTATTATTCGGATTTTTATTATTAAATAATAATATGGAAAAAATTAATGAAGTTTTGTTGGACTCTGTAACAACTAGTAAGTTATTTTTTTAAATAAATGTTTAAGTAATAATTATTTTTAAAACTAAATTATGTTGATAAATTTAAAAATCTTTTTTAAATTCTTAACGTTTAAGACTAAAACTTCAGTAAAACTGTTGCTTTTGAATTAATTGTTAACTCAATTGAGTTACAATTGAGAATACTTTGATCAAAGTATCAGTGGACAACTTTATAAAAACACCATACATAAATAAGTGTAAAGGTCACATACTTTATGTGATGTTACACTTATTTATCTTTACACTTATTTACTATACTAACAAAAGCCTTGTTAGTGTTTTTAAAATATATTATCATCATCTTATCATCATTTTAAAATAAAACCATTTAATTATTGATCACAATAGCCTGTTTAATAGGCTATGGTAAACAATAATTAAAAGATAAAGTAGTATACAATTTATATACTCCATTATCTCAACATGTTAATTATGAAATACAAAAATAAAGTAGTATACAATAAATTAATGTTAATAGTCAATAACAGTTATTATTAAATGCTCACAGTATAGCGTAAAACAGTTATTGCTCACAGTATAGCGTAAAACAGTTTATAAAAATGCTCACAGTATAGCAAGTTTTGTAACCAGAAAAATAACTGCCACAAGTTTTATGGCTTGCAAATAGGTTTTGCAAGTTTTGTGGCTTGAAAATAAGTACAACAAGTTTTTTGACTAGCATATAAGTACCACAAGTTTTGTTGCTTCCATATAAGGTACAGTAAGTTTTGTGGCTTGCAAAGAGGTATCACAAGTTTTATGGCTTGCAAATATAGTACAGCAAGTTTTGTAGCTTACAAATAGGTATTGGAAGTTTTGTGGCTTGCAAAATAAGTATCGCAAGTTTTGTTGCTTGCAAATAAGGTACAGTAAGTTTTGTGGCTTGCAAGTAGGTACCGCAAGTTTTGTGGTTTGCAAATTGATAGTTGGCTCTGGCTTACCTTTACGTGGTGTCTATTGTTAAAAATTATTCATTTTGTATTGTTAATGTAATTTAAAAATTAAATTATTTACTAGAAGCCCAGACAAGAAATTATTACATATTTTATTTCAAAAAACTTGTTTTTTTTGTGTGTTTTTTTCTCAGGTTGGAGTGGTTGATCTGTTCATTTACATGATAATGTATACTCAGATGCATCTTGTAATATGGTAAAATAGTTTTTTATTCTAATTTCTTTTTCTTTAAAAAAACTTTTTAAGATTTTTTTGTTAAATTGTAATTAAAATTTTTTTATTTGGTTCCGACAGAGGAGGGGGATAGCTTGCTCCTCTTTTTATAAAGACAAATTATACACCTAGGTGTATAAATTGCCTTTATGAAAGGGGGTGCATAAACGCAATTTATACATACTATACTACAATTTTTATTTCGAAAGGCTTGTTGTTTTCATGTATTTTTTTTTAGGTTGGAGTGTATAATCCGTCTTTTTTGACAAAATGGTTACTCTGATGTATTTTGTAATGTGTTAAAATATTTTTTATACTAATTTCTCTCTGTTTTTTAAAAAAGCATTTTAACATTATTTTGTAAAATTTTCATAATTTTTTTTTTCAGGTTCATTGCAGAGGGCGGGGGGCAGTATACGCCCTCTTCCATCAAAGCAATCTATACACCACTAGTTACTCTTTGTTATAGTGTTGAAATATATATTTTTGTTTTTTATAATAGATTTAATTATTTTAGTAAAGATTGTATTAATTAAAAGAATGAAATTTTGATAGGGTGTGTTAAACCTTCCCCAAAACCCAACACCCAACTTTAAGATAAACCTGTAATATTTGCTAGTGATGTGGAATAAATAATAACTTGTTGTATTTATATATTACTAATTTTATAAAGAAAACACTATTTAAAAAAAAAAAATTGTATTTTTGTGAGGTGTAGGTGGCAGATTAGCACCCTTCTGTATCCCTCCATGCGCTCTTTATCTAGACACTAGTTTGAAATTATAGCCCGTTTTTACATCTATCTTTTGATACTAAGTTATAGATATTTAAATAAGAATTGTCAAAGTTATAATAATTTATGTAGAAAAAAAAAATTTTTTTGACCACAGTTTTATCAAGAAATCCACATATTGAAAAATTGCTACTAAAAACGTTATATTTTTTTTATAGAATTGTCTAATTTTCATAATTTTTCAACCTTTAAAATACTGTATTTGAGGGCTTTCCAATGATATATAGCATTCTAGTATTGGATCAAGTTAAAAAAATCAGTCCACGTACCTATTAATATAAATTTTATTTCTCAAACATACTACAAACACTCTAATATGATATATTATATATACTTATAATTATTATATTTATAAATATTATATTATATATACTTATAATTTATAAACCAATAATTTTTTATGAATATCTAATCTAAAAACAAGATATTTAAGTTAATTTACTTTCAAGAATATCACTCTAATTCTAATATTCTTTTCTTTCTATTTAAAATCAAATTGTGTGCTCTTGTTCATCTATTAAATTGTCTGTTTGTCTGAAATCACACACAAGTTTCCCTACCTCTTCCAATCTGTAATTTCTTTACTTCTATAAAAAATTCTCAAAATTATCTTCCTCTTTTAGCAACCTTAAATTATATATTCTAAATCATTGTTCAGTTAAGTACAGCATAACAAATCACATCACAAACCAATGCATAAAATCATGAAATAATTTATCATTTTTTTATTCATAGAATAATTTATTTTTTATATTTTATATCTTTATATCACTTATCACTTTATATCACTAAACTTTACTACTAAAACTCATCTTTATGTCTTTTTATTTTGGAGAAATGTAATTACTGTTCTCAAAATGTTGGGCTCATTGTGGGTCATTATTATTATTATGCTCTTGGTATGATTATATGTAATATAAATATCAAAGTTATTTTACTTCTATTCATATCACTATTACTTATTGTTATTGTTTAATATTAAATTTAATATTTATCAATATTATTGTTACTATTATTATTGTTATTATTATATTAATATAAATATAATTGTTAACATTACTTACCTCGTTATAATTGTTTTAATATTGTTATTGCTTTTATTATACAGTTGGTTTTTACTTAAGATTAGTATTAGAACTATTACTAAATATCCATGTTTATGTTGCATACATACACATATATGACATATATGTGTGTGTTTTCTTTTAAGCAATTGCAAGTTTCCAAATACATGCAAAGTAAAGTAAGTAAAGAAAACAATACTTTTCAATTAGTAAACTCAGTATTATTAATTAATTTTAATTTTTTACATTTTTTATCCTTATTTTTATAACATGATCAATTAAAATGCACTAGAACATTGTTCTGGTGCATTTTAATTGAACTAAGTATAGAATTTTAATTTATTAACCTAGGTAAATAAATTTCTAATTGAGAGAGTTGATAGAGTTGCAGCATTTTTAGAGAAATATCAATGTTTCCCTTATGTGCTATTGGTAAAAAAAAAAATTTTTTATTTGTGATTTCATATATTTATTGGATAAAATGAAATAGTGTTTGAAAATCACAAATCCTTTTATAAATGAGAAGGTATTTTCAAAACTGCTATGTCCTCTAATAGGTTATTCTATAAGTTTTCTCTGCTTTTTAAAGTTGTATGCTTTTTTTATTATTATTATTTAATTCAGATTGTTGGCGACATGGCACATGTATTAAAGTCTTCTGTCACAGTTGACTCAGCAAGAATGAAGACATTGATACACTTTTGCGTTATGGAATACACAAGGTGGCAGTTCCTCGCCCACTGCCACCCAAATACAGGTAGGTATGCATGCATACACAACCCTCAAAATTAGTAAAACTAAAATGAGTTATAAATTGTCGACATTTTAAGATATGAAAAGATATTATTGTTAAATTTTAAGTTTGTAAAATTTATTTTCAGGTATAAGAAATCCTTATCTGTACGTAACAGATGATGGAGACGAAGTGATTATTATGTGTGGCAAAAGATTATTTTATGAAGTTTTTCATTTTCTGACTTCGTGATGGAACTTATTGGAGTACACTTTTTTTGGACATGGGAGGAGTATTGCCGCTACAAGCATGAACAATAATAAAACATTCTAAAGAATAATTTGTTATTTCAACGATTAGATTTGTTGTTTAAATGTATAAATGCTTGTTGAATATTCTTATTATATATCATCCTAATTTCAAAATAATGTTTCATTTTTTTCATAGAAAAAGTACTTTTGTAATATTGTTTTATAGTTCAGGGGAAATATTATTGAAAAAAAAAAAGAATCTTATTTTAAATAAAAATAACATTGAAACAAGTAAAAAATGATTTTTTTTAAGGAATATAAGTTCTTGAAACAAGAAAAAAAAACATAATTTTAAGAATATAAGTTCTTAAAACTAGAAAAAAAGTTCTTGTTTTAAGAATTTTTATTCTTAAAACAAGAAAAAAAATTCTTATATTAAGAATAAAAATTCTTGAAACAAGAAAAAAATTCTTGTTTTAAGAATAAAAATTCTTGAAACAAGAAAAAAAAAATATTTAAGAAAAAAAGTTCTTAAAACAAGAAAAAAAATTCTTATTTTAAGAATAAAAATTCTTGAAACAAGAAAAAGTATTCTTACGTGGCGGACAAGTCATTTTTTTCTTGTTTTAAGACTTTTTTTGCTTAAAACGAGAATCTTGGATTTTGCTGTGTATATATATACTTATGTATGTGTATATATATACTTATTTATGTGTATATATATATATATGTATATATATATATATATATATATATATATATATATATATATATATATATATATATATATATATATATATATACATATATATATATATATATATATATATATATATATATATATATATATATATTATTATTATTATTATATATATATATATTATTATTATTATTATTGAGTTGTGTTGTATTCTGTTGGATTTAATACAGCTCTTTGTCGGTTTAAGAGTGATCGATATTTATAAAATAGATCAAAATATATTAAATATTTAAATAAAAAAAATACGACTTTTTTATGGGACTTCAAGTTTCATGCCATTCGGCAATCATTCAGCCATATATTTAAAAATCATTCTTTTTAAATTGATTTTTAAATATATGGCTGAATGATTGCCGAATGGCATGAAACTTGAAGTCCCATAAAAAAGTCGTATTTTTTTCATTTAAATACTTTATATATATATATATATATATATATATATATATATATATATATATATATATATATATATATATATATATATATATATATATATATATATATATATATATACTTATTTATGTGTGTATATATATATATATACTTATTTATGTGTGTATATATATATATATACTTATTTATGTGTGTATATATATATACTTATTTATGTGTGTGTGTGTATATATATAAATATATATATATATATATATATATATATATATATATATATATATATATATATATATATATATATATATATATATATATATATATATATATATATATGATAGAGTGTTCCTTGTAAAGTGCAGAGTTGTTCCTTGCCCTCGGGGGTGGGGGTGCGGATGACCTTGGGTGTGACCTCGGGGATCGCTGGAGATAGGAATGGTCTGGGGGACGGGTTAGCATTTCCGATGATGTGATTTTCGTCGGTTTCTGTTGTGTTCCATGGATTGCTATTGCCTGTTTCGCCGTTTTCCAGAGTTTTCTGGAATGTTCCACGTTTTTTCAGAGTGGACCAGAATTTTTCGGAGTGGTTCGGAGTTTTCTGGAATGTTCCTTAGTGCACAGTGTGGCTATTTTATCACCTTTCAGAGCATTCGGGGGCATTTTCCAGAGTGTTCCGTGGTGCTCTTTGGCTTCGTCTGGAGCCTTCCATGGGGAAGGAGGTGAACACATCATTTACGGCACGGGTACCCTGAAGGTGACCTAAGACCTTATATCATATCCCATGAAATTTTTTTTTTGATTTTGAAAGTAGTCCATGAGCACATTCCAAAACTACTAAAAAGTAAATCATTTTTGGTAGCTTTTTGAGAAATCTAAGCTTTAAGACATGTTTTAACTAGAGATTAATGCCCCTCTGACTCGCCCTAAGACCCCTGCAAGTGGATTAAATAGCTTTATATAATTTGTTTGGTTGTTTGATCTAGTGGATTGACAATTTGAGGATCGTATTTTGATATAAATTCTGATAATAATTTGGGCATTCTAGTCAGAACATTGACTAATTTATCACTTCTTAAAAGTTAGCTTTCTTTTTTATTGAAGAGGATAATGTAGGTCTACAGGAATACAATGCCCATATAGAATCATCTTTGGATTTGTAATGAAAGAATTCTAAATAAAATAGTTTTATTTATAAAAAAAAAAAAAGGAAATATTTACTAACAAAAAATATTACATTTAACTATAAATGCATTGTGTTGTACACACAGACAGCTCTTCGCAAGACTTCTTTAAAATTGGCGTTGTGTTGTCCTACCTTTCGTATTTCCCAAAATTGTTTGAAGTCTTGATGGACTGATTCCAATGCTTGCTCAGTCCAATACCCTAAACCTTAATTCAAAATACTTAATATTATTATTTTTATATGTTAAAATTTAAAAAGTTATCAGTTAATTTTCTAAATATGCACTTACCAAACTTTCCTCCTTTCATAACAATAAACTCTTCAACATGATGCTCCACTATATGAACTTTAAGAGGAATGTTTGAACCAAGATCTCTGAAACTTTGTGAAAATCTTTTAATATAATCAGAGTAGTTTGGATTTAATATTTTCCCAAAACACCCGTGAACAACATCGCTAAAGTCTCTCAAAGCTTTCATATATTTGCCACCAATAATATTGTGCTCATCCAGATATATTTGAAAGCAATCAAGTTTTTTTAAAAACTTGTTGGATGCATTTCCTTCTAACCTGTGTTTACCTTGATAAGGTACTCTGGCAAGATTAATTGTAGATAGATAACTATTTACAAAATTAAATCCTTGATTAGTGTCCTCAAACAAGTTTTTTTCAATTATTTTGAGTAACTTGTCTACTATGCCTAGCAAAATATGTAAGCCTGGTATATTAACAATTTCTAAGAACTTCTTTGCTACATTTCCAGTCAATAAAGGAGGATTAACTACGTTACTAAAATTTTTAGCTTTTGCAATGTTTCCTCCTGCAGCCATCCATTTGTTACACCACTCACACAGAGAAGTTAGAGAATATGACTTAGCTCTCAGCATATTTGGCGATTCTGTTTCACAAAAGGGGCAAGGATGCTTCGAAGCTGCTGACTGCTTTCCAACCATCAGAAGAAGAACCTTTAGATCTTCTGAAATAGAGTAATCCAGAGATTAAGTTTTAATTTATCCATCAACATTTTTATGTTTGCATAATTTTCATCAATAGAGGGTAATACCGCCAAGACTAAAGCTTTGTGAACACTAGTATACTTGAATTCTTTAAATCCATACTCATCAGAATATTTCACTCTTTTCCTTTCAATTGAATGTACTTCAAGCTCTGGCTTTAATGTGATTGATAAAGTAACCTTAAGATAGCCTTGCCCTCCATCTACCCCAATCTTAACATCAACATTCTCTGGTTCAAGAGATCTACGTCGCAAAACTGTTGCAACAAACTCATCAACATTATTGCAAATTACACCAGGAATAGTTCTTTCAATACACTAAATAATTACAAAACAACTTTAAGTCCAAGGATGATGATTTATTTTAAATTATCAACTTTCAAATTAATCAAATACAAAAATATAAGATTAAAATGTTGCATAGAATAATGTTTTATTATAATATATTATTTTTATAGAGCTTTTTAAGAAACTGAAAATCTTTAGTTAAAGTAAAACACTATATATATATAAATATATATATAAACACTACATAATATATATATATATATATATATATATATATATATATATATATATATATATATATATATATATATATATATATATATATATATATATATATATATATATATATATATATATATATATATATATATATATATATATATATATATATATATTTCAGGGGCGGATCCAGCATTTTTTGGTGTTTGAGATAGCTAACTTCCAGACATGGAGCAAACTCCAAACATTTATATGTTTATACTTATATCAAATAAGGATGGTTTGCAAAAAATTGTGATGATTGGAGCCTGGGAACAAAAAAGCCCCAAAATTTGAGACGTACCTGCCCCAAACGTGAGAGCAACAAGTTGATAAAATATTTTTCGTACTATTCTCAACAAGACTTACATTTATCCATAAATTTTAAATTTCATTGTAAAATATTTTAGTGTTCAAAAATTATGACCATGTAAAGTTTGAATCCCCCTCAATTCGAGGGGGTTACAATTTTTATATGGTCATAATTTTTGAGCGCTAACATATTTTACAATGGAATTTAAAATTTATTGATAAATATAAGTCTTGTTGAGAATAGTACAAAAAATATTTTATCAACTTGTTGCTCTCACGTTTGGGGCAGGTACGTCTCAAATTTTGGGGCTTTTTTGTTCCCAGGCTCCAATCATCGCAAATTTTTGCAAACCATCCTTATTTGATATAAGTATAAACATATAAATGTTTGGAGTTTGCTCCATGTCTGGAAGTTAGCTATCTCAAACACCAAAAAATGCTGGATCCGCCCCTGTATTTAGTTATACCACTTTTTTATTATCTCCAGTATTCTGTTTTGACTGGATCAGCATAAGCTCAGCATCAAACAAAAACAATAGATTTTTGTTTTCTTCGGTTAACTTTTCAGAATAACAAGGCTCAACAGATTTTCTTCCTCCATTCACTCTTATAAATCGGGCAATTTCTAACATCTTATTGTCACTAGTAAATTTGATACAATGATAAAAACAGTAAATGATTTTTTAAAATAAATTATATTTCTTGAATTTAGTAGAAGACAATCTATACCTTGTATGAAGTTTGCTCTGTAGTTGTTTCAGTTTTGAATGTGAAAAGTACGGTGTTTTCGGTTCAACTACTCCAATAGAAACAACAAGCTTCTTAGGGCCAAAGGTGTTCAATGTTATTTTTGCATCATGGGTTACTAAATTGTTGATTGTGGTGGATAAAACCTTTTCTTTAGTAACAGGTGAGGTTGATTGTACAATATGCATCAAATTCCTTTGCTTAGCTAACTTTGTGCAAGGATGTTTAATACCTTTTCCTATTTGTTGAAAACAACTTCTGCAAAGAACAAGATTTTCATTGGTAGTCGAAAGATTCAAATTACTGTGACTTTGATCAATATCTGCATTAGTTTCACAAGATACCATTGGTGGAAGAGTTGCTGTTTCAGTACCATTTTTACGCCCATTAACACAAATAAAACACTCACATTTCCCACCTCGAATAACTCTAGTATTAAGACCTAAAAGTAATAAAAAGTTATTTTTTTAGTGCAAACAAAATATTGTTTATAAGAAAAACAATAATAATCCAAAACATAATTGGTTTTTATTGGCTTATTTTCTTATAAAACTTACCTTCGTACTTAGGTCGAGCCTTGAATAAAAATCTTTTTGAATCTGTTTTTTCTAAACTCACTAGATTTTTTCTGCAATTAGAACATAACATTTTAGGCAGATCCGGGTTTTCAACAGAGTAGTTTTCCCAAAAAAATCTCTTGATAAGATTTTCATAATTTTTTGCTTGTTTTGGACCTGGTTTATTGCATTTGGTTTGAATGCATCTTAAATCATTACTTTTTTTCATACAGCATATGCAAAAGCATTTTAAAAACTCGTTATGATCTTTAGCAAAGTATGGCATTTCTTTTCTATTATTGAGAAATAGTTCCTATATTTTTTAATCGGCTTTTAAATTCAAGTCAATATAAGTATTTTACTTAATTAATTAAATAAAATCGCTGTTATTGCTAAAATGTGTTTATAAATATTGTTAAAGTCTTTTAAAGCAACAACAACTATAAGCCAATCGGAAACTAATAAATATTATTAAAGCCAATCACGCTGCTGCAATTGCAGAAAGTAAACAACTATAATGGCTGACGGGAAAGTATTATTTTAATACGAAAACATCGTTATTTATAAAACTTCTTACTAAGTTTTCTAAAAAAGCTACCAACAAATGATTTAAATTTTGATAGTTTCAGAATGTACAAATATACTACTTTCAAAAACAAAACAAAAACTTCATGGGACTTGATATAAGGTCTTAGGTCACCTTCAGGGTACCCGTGACGGGGTTGCAGTTCTGGGAATCAGTTTGGGGGGTTGGTTTGCTCTTTGCATGTTGCTGCGGGGAACGGGTGCGGAAATATTGTTTTTTGGTGATAACTAATTCATATTTGGTTCTTTTATTTTGTGGTGGTCAACTTGGTATGGGGGCATTGTTCTTTTCAAATGAGTATTGTGTATGAGTATATATATATATAAGACGTGTGTACAGTGTATATAAAATCCCCGGATGGAAGAACTTTTAGTGTTGTATATATATATATATATATATATATATATATATATATATATATATATATATATATATATATATATATATATATATATACACACACATACGGTGCTCTGCGGTAATGCAAATTAATGCCTTCTTCTTGGCCATTAACTTAATTGTAAATTTATGTAAAATGTAATACTTGTTCAACGGCAAAAAATAATGTTAAAAAAAAAAAAAAACTTATCCATAATAAAACAAGGAAAATAGATGAGGAATAAATGATGCACGTTTTTTGCTAAGGAGTTAAGGACTGAAAATTTTTGACAATTCGCGACGTTAGAATTATCTTGTTCTAACTCCACATTTTTTAGTTTTGAGATTAACGATTTAAAAAACAAAAACTTTAGGAGACCGCGTATAAATTTTTTTTTATAACACGTTTTTTCCGCAACTTTTTTACTTATAACTTAGGTTTCAATTCAGTAGAAAGACATTATTTTGAGGAACACAACACTATCATTAACTCAATTTTTTCAGAAAGTGGAAATTAAAGCAACCTTATTAATTACTTATATTAACAAATAATTATGTCAAAATTATAAGATCAGTTAATTTAAACTTAATAATGAGGGTTAATTTAAACTTAATAATTTAATTTAATTAGTTAATTTAATAAGTTAATAAGTTAATTTAATAAGTTAATTTTAAGTTAGTACCCAGTAAACACAGGACGTTTTTAAAACGTTTTAATTCCGTTCAATTTACGGTCAGACGTTTAAAGAACCAATACAATCGTTTTTAAAACGTTTTTTTGTAAACGTTTTTTTTTAATGTTAATTTAAACGTTTTTTTAGCGTTTTTTAAGCGTTTTTTTTTTTTTTAACAACTTGCCAAATTTCTCAGTTAGCTTATGAACGTTTTTAAAACGTTTTTTTAACATAATAAATAAACGTTTTTTGAATGTCACGGCAATATTTAAAAGAGTAATTTTGTTTACGCCAATAAAGGCGTGACCTTCGATTAAGCGAAGTGATTTATTCAAGTAAAAATTATATAAATTAACATATCTTTAAATCAACCAAGTGTTTGTATTGTTTTCTTGGAGAATTTAAAAGTATATTGGAGTATTTTTAGTTTGTCTTCGTTGAAACTAGGTTGTGTTTGTATTTCTACTTGAGTCAAGTAGATATGATTAAAATGATAATGTTTTTATGGTGTGGTTATTTAGATTAAATAGCTTAATTGTTGAGTAAACTTGATTGCTAAAGAAACTAGATTAAGTTTTTGATTCCACTTGATTATCAACTGCTTTTAATGCAAAAAAATTCATTTGGATTTGAGAAAAGGGAACAACATTTTCAGAGTTTTTCTTCTTTAACTCTTTTATTAAGGAATTACTATAGTTAAAACGGTTGAAAGGAAAAAATATGATGATTTGTTTCAAGAAAGTAAGTGATTTAGTTCAAAATGTCATTTTAAGATTTTTAATCTTTAATAATATTCTGGTGTTATTACCAAATATTTGACAGTATGAAACCTATAATAATACATACAATATTATATACCCTATTTTACTTATAAAATTAATAATCTATAAAGTAGTTTGTAAAAGATTTTTAGTTGTAAGATTTCTACATGAGAAAACAAGTTTTTAGATGAAATTCAAATATTTTCTATGCTTGTGTTCTGTAGGTCAAAAAATAATAAATAAAGATGATATTGATTGTGATGACCAAGAGATTCATTTTAAGACACACCAATCTTCATGATCTTAAAATAAAAAGGATAAATATGATAGATTTCCATTATCTCAAGCAAGTAAGTCTTTAGTTAAAAATAATAATGTAATGTTTGTTGTAAAATGCTAACATGACTGTCAATATTAAAAGATTTCATTGAAAAGACGAGGTTTTAATTTCAACTTTAAATAATCACCTGCACGAAATCCATTATTTCAATATTATCAAAGTTATAAATCTATGGAACAATCTTACTTCTCTAACCCTAAATCTGAGAAAAACTAATATATATAAAATATTTATTGTGCCTATACCAAAAATTAGCATTGCCTCAATCAAGTATTTTACTGTCTATTAGTTTTTCTCTGATTTAGGGTTAGACTAGTAAAGTTGTTAAATTATTAAATTTATGTATTTTAAATTCATTTATATACATAGTTTTGTTAATACTATGTAAAATTTATTTATTGTAAGTTTGTTTAGACTTTTAATGTTGTGTGTTGCGTCTCCTAAATAAGATAAAAACCCAAGGATTCAAAAAACCTAATATAAAATAGTGTGAGCAAGAAGTAGTAACTGAAATGAACAGTCTAATAGAATTTGATAAGTTTGACTCAGCTCTTGATAATGATTCAACTAGTAGCTCTGCAGTTGTAAATTGCTAAATACCGATTTGACAAATTTTTTCTTTTTTAAAAATTTTCTTTAAAACATATAATTTTTACTACTTAATTAGGAATTGTCAGTTTTACCATAATTTCTTTCTATTAGAAACAAAGAGTTCAAAATATTGGTGGTAAGAATTGTCAAAAACTTGTGATAGCTATGATGAAGAGGTTAGTAAATTAAAAGTGCATTCCTATAAATACTCTGTTTAAGTTTATAATGATATTACTCCTATCTTACCAGGCTTGGTCGGGAAGTGGGAGCGATCGCTCTCGATTGCTGACCCCGTAAATAATATTTAGTTGCGAAAAGCTGGCCAGATTTTTTAGTCGTTTTGAGAACATTTTAAAAAGCAAAAAAAAAAAGCGCGAAAGGTTAATTGGACCGATGAGAGACAATTACAAAAAATAAAAATAAAAATAAGTAAATAAAATATCTTTAAATGCGAAAAAACTTAAAGCTAAATAAATTACGTTGAAAACAAATTTTTTTAAAATATTGCTCTTTTATAATTTTTTTTATAAAATTAAGCAATCTTTTTTAAATAAAGTAACAACTTACGATTGTTTAAAGAGGAAATAAATATTCTTTATTCAACAAAGTTTGCGAGTTTTAGTTTAATTTTAGCTAAATTATTTTATAAATAATAAAGTTAATTTTTTCAATACCTATTTTATGTTTCGCGTAGTTTGAAAAGTTTAACATATTTGAAGCATTTCTTCATAGTAAGATAAACAAATGAAATAATTAAATCATTGAATTACTTTAGAAATTAAATTAACAATATAGAAATCAACTTAAGGTTAAAAATACTTCATGACAAGGAAGCGAAATCGCTTCACAATATCGCTAGTGATGTTTAGTGAGTGGGCTTTTTAATTTAATTAGTATTTAAAGCAGAAAAAAGTATAACCAGTTTTTAGAATGGCAACTTAAGCGAAAGTAATTAGAGTTAGTAAACCAATATCTAGTTACTTTTCTTTATATCTAATTATTTGCTATATATATTTGTGTTCTGTCGTGACCTCAGGTGCGGTGCTTGTTCATCTGCGAGTTACTTTGTACGCGTTGTTTGTGTTTAGTAACTTGAAACTTCTTATATGTTTGTTACGTAATTAGTTTTATTAACTATAACGATTATAACTTCATTGAAAACGCAATTATTTTTGTAAGTCTTTGTTTAAATCGTAAAAATTGCTTTAAAAGATACATTACGATAAAAAACAGATAAACAAATTTAAATTTACATAAAGAATGCATACTTTTTAAATAAAAAAATAAGAATATACTAATAAAATCTATAATTTATAATTAACTTTTAACATTTTATTTTATATTTTATTTTTGTAAACAAATAATATATTTATTCTTAAAACAAGTTATTCTAGAAATCTCAAAACGAAACAAATCGTTTCTAAAAACATTTCAAAAGATTACCCTTCTTAATTTCGCTAAGTCAGCGTATTTTTTGAACTAATAGAATTAGTTTCTTTGTTAATTTGGCGGGTTTTTAATGTTCGCGAATATTCTTTTTATTCTTTCGCACAAAGATGTTTTGAGAACATTCAGGTGTATTATGTTTCCATGTATGTCCGTAAAACAAAAATATTTTGTTTCATACATAAACTTGAATGTTCTCAAAACGACTAAAAAACCTGGCTAGTTTTTCGAAACTAAATATAATTTCCGTGGTCTGTATTCGAGAGCGATCGCTCCCGCTTCCCGACCAAGCCTGTCTTACAATCCATAATACAAATCCCATGCATGGCTCTACCAAAGGTGTTTTACCATAATGGGACGAGTGAATAACCGTGAATTTTATAAGTGCGAACTGGTGTAAGTACGAATTCGCATAAGTGCAAACTAGCACATGTGCGAAGCAGTTACAAAAACAGACACAATGCCAAATGGCATAAGTGCAAATGGGTATAAGTGCGCAAAAAGAATTTCCAAACATTGGCACAAGTGCAAATTTGCAAACATTGACATAATTGCGAATTGGCATAAGTACAAAGCAATTATTGAAATAGTTACAGAAACTGGTATAAGTGCAAACTAACATATGTGCCAATCGGCAAAAGTACGCTAAATAGATTTAAAACATTCTCATAATTGTGAATTGCCATAAGTGGGAACTGGTTTAAGTGTGAAGCATTTGCAAGCATTGGCATAAGGGCAAACTGGCATAACTGCAAACTAGCATAAGGGCAAATTGCCAATTAGCACCTATGCCAATGTTTGCAAATTTATTACGCGCACTTATGTCA